ATGAGGATGGGGGTGTGATGTAGCTTGTCAAACATGTGAAATAGTCTTTCTGGGGCTCTGGGAAACTAGTTGGGTCAGGCCACTAAGGAAACTCAAGTTTTAGGAAAAGATCCGGAGGTGGGATAAAGAATTTTCTGGAAGCCAGGAAATTTAGCAGTAATTTAGCCTGTACTGCCTTGGTAATTCTTCCTATATTTATTTCATAAATAATTTTATATTTTCCTCATTATAAAAATACTGTAATATATGCAATATAGTAATACATGTAGAAATAATACATTGGTGTAAAATGTTTATTTAGTACATATGTGCTAAGCACTACGCAGAACTCTTCGAAAGCATTATTCATTTACTTCTCACTACAGAAATAAGTTCTATTATAATCTCGCTTGGACAGATGACAAAATGGAAGCTTAGAGTTGAATAACTTGGCCAAGGTTACACTTCTGTAAGCAGCAGAGGCAAGACTTGCATTTAGGTCAGCCTAACTCCAAATCCTGGTTTCTTTCTCTCCTTAACCTCAGTGTCTCCTCCTATACCATTGTTAGGGGAGAAAAAGGAACACAGGAGCAAAACTTTCACAATCCAACAACTCAAGGAAAGAAATATTAACATTTTAGTAAATATTTTTATAGTCTTTTCTACATTCATAACTTTTTTCACATATTTATAATTAAGCGCTCTTTGTATGCAAAAGACTATATCTCTGATTTTATTTAACATTTAACACAGCATTTGTGCAAGTTAAAGCAGAAAGAAAAACACGAACTACACTTTACTAAGCCAATATGATATATCCTGTTCTATATAACCCTCCCCATCACTGAACGCATACATTGTTTCTAAAGTTTCACCATTGCAAACAGTGCTGTCACAGACAATTTTATCTGCATAAACTTTTTTACTCTTTATGATTGCTTTTAAAGGTATGAAACTTTGAAGAGTCTGCATTCTTGAGATATATTACATTCACGGGTTTTCCAATATGCTGGCTGTACATCCCAACAGGCAGCATAGAGAGGGCTTAATTCATATACACCTGCCAAAATGGGATTCACCCTGTTTCATTAGTTTTCTACAACCTCATCTTCTTTCTCTTGTCTGTTTTTGGAAAATAGAGAAAAGGATACCCTTCTAAATAACATCTCCTTTTGTAAAAATAATGCTATTGGGGGAACAATTTTCACAAGAACTCATCATTGAAATCTCAGACAAATCTCTATGGCTGACTGGATATGGGAGACACAGAAATGAGACAAATGAAAATTGTGTGGACTTTTTCTTTGAAAAATCTCAAGACTTTGGCCATTTCTTTCCTTTTGACGCCTATCACTCCAATCCAACTGCAACTCCCCTGGGGCCTCCTGGGTTTTCTCCTCTTTCTATGTCTTTCATCCTATTCTCTGCTTTCAGATGACTCTTACATAAACACTGAGCACATCATGCAATTTTCTGGTTCATAAAATGTTAAGGATTCCCTAGTTCTTATTTAACTTCTTTACTGACTCTCAACCACCAACTACTACCCATCAGCAAGTAAACCATCTTTCTAGGTCCTCCCTCCCATTAACTTCATCTTCACTCTGCCTCTCTGCCTTTCCAAAGATGCAGGCTATAGGAAAATGGATTTGACACTTGTATATTATGGAGACAGTTTTGCCATTTATGTGATGATTCAGAAGGTACCAGAGGACCTTCCAGGGCCTATCACTGTAATGTCAATTTGTGAAAATGGCTATTAATAAGGGTTTCTGGCTGACAGCATCTTGGACAATAGCTTATTCTGAATTCCTGGTCTTAAGTTACGATAGCAGAAGCATAGAACTTGACCTTGAGTTTGATTAAGAATGAAGACTCTGGACTCTGAGATTAGTCAGCCTGTGCAGCCATTGTGCAACCTTATGCTTAATATAATCACAGTCCTTTAAAAATTCTGGCTTTTGTGAATAGGATTTACATCCACCTTCTAGTCCAACTGTGCTGCATTGTTTTCCCAGTTGTTAGCCGATCTGCTTTGAGGAGTGCATTTAACTCAGAACTCTGCAAAAATATAGTGCTTTTCTGTTGACTGTAGAGTACGTAGGTCAAGTGGAATTTTTGGCACTTCATTACATTCCCTGACCCTCACCAAACAAACTTCAAAATATATATATATTTGCAACAATTTGGAATAAACACTACATACAAGTGTTGACGATAGATTTTCTGAAGAACTACCAAATGCATCAAGACTAAGGAAAACATTCTAATGATTCTTTCAAACACGAATATATTTAAATTCCTGTTAAACAATCTTCTTATTTAGTCTTCTCAGGCTTTGATGGCATGCCACGATTGGCTGTTTATCAAAAACTTAGCAAAAAAAATGCTTAACAAGATATAATTGTGTGTACATACTCGTGCATAATTAAACCCAGTTTATAAATTGGTACAGGGTGAAATATCATCATACCACCCAAGAAAGGTTAGTGGCTAGCAAATAACACTTCTTCCCATGTATAATAATCAGCCTTAAAATGTGAATACTGTGAAGTGATATAATAATCTAATCTTAAATCATAATTTTAAACATCTATTTCCATCACTATTTAACTAAATGAAAGTTGTAACAAGATTAGGAAATGAACTTAGATATAAAAACCAGGATCAGGCATTAATTGTTAAAACTGGGATTATGTGGCCTAGACATAGACCATAGTCATCCTTTGAAGATTTTTAACTAGATAGATTCTCTTCTTGTGCTTTATTTATTTTCTTTGAAGGAGGATTTAGCTGACTCTTAGTTTCTTTATTTTATAGCTGCTCCTTCAGTTGAAAAAAGAGGGAATAATTGGGATAGAGTAATGGATATTTCTCAAGAACTCCAAGACTAGGTATTGCATAGCATTAAAGGGTATCCTTCTCCATTTGTTTTATGACTTTGTCCAGTTAAAGTTACTGAGATAAGCAATCCAGTATTTACTTGTAACTTGAAACCCCTTTCATGGTGTCTGGATCCTAAGGGAAAAGAATTAACATTTGAGAAATGCTTACCTTGTGCCAGGCATTTTATATGCATTATCTCATTTAATTCTCATAACCATGAGATATGGTTGATAGTATTTAATCCGATTTTACTTGCCTGAGATCATAATGGGAGTGAAGTATAGAGCAAGGATTTGACTGGAGGTCTCTCTTTCTATTGCTTTAAAGCCCAAGATCCTTTCACTAAACCACATTGGATTTCCCATGGAGCCAGTATGTGGAAGTGAGAAGAAGGAAAACTCTAAGAGATTTTCTGAACTTTAAAATAAAGTTCCCCTTTGAGAGTAAAATAAGACAGAAAATGATATGATGAGTTGATTAAAACACGTTCCCTAATGCAATGAACTGGTTTAGTAAGTTATGGACTGTGTATACCATGAAATACTATGACAGCATTTGAAAGAATAAGTCTTTTAATGAAATAGAAGTCTGTATATGAGTTGCAAAATAGTTGTATAATGATATGTGCAATCTGATGTACTTTAACATAAGAAACAACCACACACACATGTTTGCATGTGCTTAGGAACAGGTCAGGAAGGATACATACAAAAATATTCGTTACTTCTGTTCAGCAGGCTAAGAGTGTCTGGTAGGCAGATTTCATTTTTTAGGGTAAATGCATCACTGTTGCTTAATTTTGGGGGGTGCAATTGCATGTATTACATTCGCAATTAGAAATCATGTAATGGATTAGTTGAACAATCTGTAGGAATGACTCTTCCCAAATTATGAGTGATTGAGGTGTTTAAGGAGATTTAATCTCACAAAAGCAAAACTGCTCAATCTATTTGAAACTCTATCAGGCTTCAATATTACTATGCATATATCATGAAAGCTAAAACCTCATCACTTCTGTTGCACTCTGCCTTATCTGAAGAAGGTATTAACAGAAGGCAAATGAGTAACAGTCATTTTAGACTTAACATGTCCAAAATAGAGCTCTCAAACCTGCTTTTCCTACTCAACTTGTTCCTCCCCCAGTTTTACCCATTTCTGCAGCACTATGGTTTCTTCACTTGCCCAATTGAAACCCTAAGTTACATGCTTGATTTCTCCTTTCCTTTCCCCATGGTATCCCAATCAGCAGCAAGTCTAGCCTGATCCATCTCCACAATATCTCTACCCATTTCTCTCTGAGGGCTCTGCTCAAGTCACTGATACTTTTACCTGGACTACTGTGGTTGTCTACCATTAGGTCTTCCTGTCTTCACATTTGGAAGCATTCTCTGCTCAGCAGCCAGAGCAATCTTTTACACTCCATCAATGTAGCATTCTTCAGTGGTTCTTCCTCATATTTAGAATGAAATCTAAATATTTCACCATGAACCACAGAACCTATGTGATCTGATGCTCGTGTGATGTTTGAGACTTCAGCTCCTGACCCCATCCTGTCTCCACAGTAGGCCCTAGCAGTTCGGGTTTAATTTCTGCTTTTCAAATACTTCAAGCTCTTAGAGGCCTCTAGGGCTTTACATTTGCCTTTCTTCTTCCTGGAAGACTCCTCTTTTAGCTATTTACACAGATAGCACCCTAGCAATCTGAGCCAACATTTTACAGATGAGGAAATTGGATGCAGAGAGTTTAAATAACTTGTTTGTGGCCATAGCACTTGGTACTTGTTGGGACTGAGTTTTGAATCCATGTCTGAATCATTTCATGTTCTTTCTATTACGTTAGAAAACAAAGTCCAGTGACCCATCCTGGGGTTCAGGCGATGGTTCTGACAATCAATCAGCAAACATATACTTGTTGAAAAGGCCTTGAAAAATAAGCTATTTCAGAAATTACTTTTGTAGATTCTCCTTCCTATCCCTAGCACATTCTCCAGCTTCTGCAGTAAGACCTAGGTCAGCTATAAGGGAAAATATGAGGTAGACTCACTTGGAAACTCTTGCCTTAGAGATCTAAAATTAAATATTGCCCATTTATGAAATGACTATAAATTGACACATCCAGAAACCCGTACAACTTACTTAGTTAGATGTCCAAAGAGCACTTTCATGGTGTCACGATTTGGTGGAGGCAGTTTTTGTACAAGAGACTTTACAGCTTTAATTCTTGTGTTGTTGTCTTGCTTTTCTGAAAAAAAAGAAGGAAGGTTAGGGGGGAAAAACCACAAGATTTCATAGGTACAGATACATAAGAAAATTTTCTTGGGCAAATTTTGGACTAAGACTAGCAACTAAGAGTCCTAGTCAGTAGCCAAAGGGAATAGGTGGACTTGACCTGGTTATTGAGGAGTTTCTTTTTGACTCTGAATTTGACTGTGGCAGGCCTTTTGGGAGGCTGTGTACGAGCTGATGTAGCTTTTAACATTTGTACATTTTTCCTTTCTGCTTCAAATGTAGATGGAATAGCTATACTGTGAGATAATCAACGTGAAAACAACAACAATGTGACTTTGACATTGCCTTCCTTATCTTAACATTTGGTTTTCTTAAATGCCCTGTTTTACAAGGTATGGTAGCGCAAATAAGGGCCTTCCAAAGATGTCCATGTCTGAACCCCTGGAATGTGTGACTGTTACCTCACATGGCAAAAGGGACTTTGCAGATATGATAAGTTAGAGATTTTGAGACGGGAAGATTTTTCTGGATTATCTGAATGGGCCCAGTGGAATCACAAAGATCCTTATTAAGGAGAAACAGGAGGATAAGGGTCAGAGAGAAAAGGTGATGTGACTTCTCACATGACAATGGGAGCAGCGTGAGGGGCTGCTGTCTGAGGAATTGCGATAGTCTCCAAAAGCTGGGAAAGGCAAGGAGACAGAGCCACTAGGGGTACCGCAGGCCTACCAACCTCTTGCTTTTGCCCAGTGAAGCTGATTTCAGACTTGCAGTCCTCCAGGACTGTAAGAGAATAAGTTTGTGTTTTAAGCTTGTGTTAGTGTTACAGCAGCAATGGAAAACTAAACAACATATAGTGCAATTTGATTACAAATATTCTATCATTGCTTGATTTTGTAAAAGGGCAAAAATTTTTTAAAAATTATTTCCATGTTATTCCTTTTTCCTTACACATTGTTTTTCCTTTAAGAGAGTATTAAAAAAAATTGAAATAGCATATTGCCTGGTCATGCACAATTTGTAAAATAGGAAGTTGTTCAAAACTGTATACCACATAGATTGCTTTCTCTCATTTTGTGTTGTTTATGGATGGAAAAGTAAAAATTGATTTACTTAGTACACAAGAGAATTCATCTTTCCATAGTTTTAACCAGGGCCTTCCCATCTAGAGATGTAATTATTTATTAAACTTAGACACCTCATGCACTTCCCTTTCTATGCTTTAGGTATCTTTCCTTTCTATAACTTCTAGCATAGAGCTCCTGATGATTCTAAACAGGCTGCAGCTGGAAAATAAGATATAAAAAAGAATAATATGTAAGACAAACATCCACCCAGTAACTATTTTCTTCCTTAGCAAGATAACCCCACTGTTGAGAGGATGGTAATAAATGCAGATGGCCTGGAGCTAGAGTCACCATGAGACTAAGTCTGGCCAGTGAGACTGAAGTCAGTGTTGGTCAGGTCTTCTGGGATGGCATGTATGAGCTGATTTAGCTTTAAGCCTTTGTATCTTTTCTCCTTTCTGTTTCTTTGAATATAGACAGAGTGGCTTTTCAGTGGTCTAATCTGGAGAACTGAAGCTCTGTGAAGCAGAATATACAGGTAGAAAGAGCTTTCTTGAATCTGTGGAGCAGTCAGACCAGTCCTGCACTTCCTGCCTCTGGGTTTCTTTTGTATTTTTTGAGATGGGATCTTGCTCTGTTATGCAGGCTGGAGTGCAGTGGTGTGAACACAGCTCACTGCAGTCTCAACTCCTGAGTTCAAGCTATCCTCCTGCTTCAGCTCCTGAGTAGCTGGGACTATGGGTGCATGCCACCATGCCCAGCTAATTTCATTTTGTATAGAAAAAGGGTCTCACTATGTTGCCCAGGCAGGTCTTGAACTCCTGGGCTCAAGCAATCATTCTACCTTGGCTTCCCTAAGTGCTGAAATTACAGGCATAAGCCACCACGCCTGGCCCTCTGGGTTTCTTTCGCATAAGAAAAGAAGCCCTTGTGTACTGACACCCTTGAGGATGGATCTCTGATATTAAGGTCAAACACAGTTCTTAATAATATGATGTACTTACAAAAGTCTAATTCAAGAGGTATATAAACTTTATGACAGTCAAATAAGAAAGAGTTAGACACTGGCAGCTTCTTTAATATGTTGTCACAAAAGAAAATTTTTTATGAGGAATTATAGGAAAATATCCTGCAGAAGATGGTATTTGGCTAAAGTGGGATGGGGGCAGTCTTCCTAGTAGAACTCTGCTTGGAAGCTTTTATTTTTCCTCCTAAAACCACAAAGGCCTATAAATAATGCCTCCCACAGTCAAAGCTTTCAAAATTGCAGTTATTCTTAGAAGAGTTCCAACATAATATGGCTTGGACAACTGCAAATGAAAGAAACAAAGGGGAACGAGAAAGAGAAATAAAAGAAAGTTACAACATCGTAGCCGACACCAGACCTCATCTTTTCTGCCAAATAGTAAAAAGCTCTCTTGGAGCTTAATGATGGTCAGAAAATGTGATGCTTCACAAGACCAATTGGAGCCTATGAAATATCGTAAACCAGAAAAAATGTACAATAAGTTAATAAAGAAGAGAGTGAAATTGGTATAGTATGCCCAGGTCAGAGCTATTAGGGATGCTTGAATGCCTTGTATCTATTTGAAGCTAATACCATACAACAATAATTGTATACACACACACACACACGTATACACACACTACATATATATTCAAGGGGTGGGTGCATTCTGTACAGTTTGGCATGATGCCAGTAGTGCAGTTTACCTGAGGATCTGGTGAACTACTAGGTGCAAGCAATCAGTATGATACTGGGAAGGGGACGAGGGGAGAGAGGGAGAAGACACCTTTCTAATTTCACTGAAATATCTGACTGTAGTAATAACCGGGTTAATGTCAGACTCTCCAAAAAAGGACCAGTTGACATCAAGGGCTACAGAAGTAACAGCTACAAATTCAGCTTGACAGGCAAGAAGAGGGGAGTAGTCTTGCTGGCTCTAACTAGCAAACTTTACTCATAGAGAACAGATGATCCAGTCAGGGTGGGGTCAGGAGAGATTGGCCATTGCTTCATGGGAAAGAGTTGATTTGCAAGGACACTTCCATGGTGTTTGGGCAGGAACTAAGACATAATCACGTCTGTTAAGCCAACAGTTAAAAGAATTATGAGCTTTCTTAGAGTCAGCTCTCCCTCTCCTGTGTTCTGTTGCATTTAGAATATTCTACTTATAAAACACTTTGCATGGTATTTCTACTGCTCGAGTACTTGTCAAATTCCTCCATTACATATGGAACTTTTAAAGCCAGGCAATTTTTATACAGGCATGTGGTGGGTTAAATGAATGAAGAATTAGTGAGTGAACTAATGAAAGTTGTGAACATGAATCGGAATACTTGGACCTTGGTTTGAATTCTGTAATGGCTTTTGTTTAGCTGTGTGGTCTTCGACAAGTTTCTTACTCTCTTTGAATAAGATCTAAAATGGTAGTTTTGTTGAATAAACAAGATAGTATGTAATGTACCAGGCACAATTACAAGTAAAACAAAGTATTCTATCTTTGCTTTCCCCTGCACCGCTCTCACCTTTTTTGAGGCCCACTTCACGGGGTCTGGTTCACCTTATAATTCCAGCAGTTAGCATACTATCTGGTTGCAAAGACATTCAAAATGTAGTTGCTAATTCTTGAACTGAGTTGGTGCCGATTGGTGAAAATACAATTGCTATGGTAGCCCAACATGACACAATAACCTAAATACTGGGTGATAGGTTGAGAAATTGATGGTCTGATTGGTGAGCAGGTTCAGTTATGTAGATGTATCCCTATAAAAATTACATGTTGGTTTCCAAGTCTGCCTATAAGAAACATTCTACATGAAGAATATTTTATAGAAATATTTTTCTCTCTTTTTCCACTTTCACACATTCTTGACCAATCAGACAACTGGATATTGGTGCATGCATATTTGTGGTCAAATTATACTTAAGTTCTAAATGGGGAACTGTACCATGGCTTAGAGAGAGCTGAAATATTAAGGAGAAACAATTAATTTTTCTTACAACATAATCAGAACAAAATCTTCTGAAAAGGTTATAGGAAAGCAGTGTTTTTTCATTCAAATCAATACCACACCCACTCTTCCATAGCTTGTAAAATCAGGAAATAACAGAAACACTTCTAAGTGGAGGAACATCTAAAAATACAATTGGATACATTAAAATTGAAATGACACCTTTTCAGATCTGGTTTATTGATGTGTCATATTAGGAATTGGAATCAACATACATAATACAGGAGTGGTTAATGAGCTAAGATTCATACACAGCTTACTAAAGATGTGTCAACTGTCTTCAATTGATTCAGTGAGCATCTGAAAGACAGCATTTTCTATTAATATTTCTCCCTCAGCATATGTTTTTCTCATTATGAAGCATTTAAAGTTCTGAGAAGACTTTGAGATATCTCTAACTTTTTACATTATGACTGGTGGGAGGAGGAAGGAACTTTTTGCACTTAGAGAATTAGAGAATCTCTTAGGTAAACTGTATATGAAGAGACTTATACAAAATCTTTCCAGAAGTAATGAATTCCATAATTCTTTCCCTCTTTCATTTGCATTTACTCCTGCCCTCATTCTATTATGATTTTTGTATCTATTCCATATAATACCTCCATTTAGTTCTCCATCCATATCCAAATCGCCTCTTCAGTCTCTAAGCTGTGAACTCACAATTGCACCACCACTTTTTGCAGTGCTTCATTTTTGCCATCCAACAGTGATTCTAAACTGTTACCTACAAATACCCACTCCTCACCAACCTACCCCTATCTTCTCAGACTACATCAAATTCATTGTTGTAAATGAGCTTCAAAAACAATTCCATGCTATTTAGAGAAGTAACATCTATGTGATGTGAAATAGCCTTTAAGTTATAAGAATGTGGCTTTATAGTTTTCCCCAAATTCATAGTTTTCAGGGCAGATTTTTCAAAATATGGTTT